GTGTAGAGACGCGACATTGTGATTGGGGCAATCTTAGCCATCCATTCAGAATAGACGGTTGGATAAGAGGAAGTATATGAGTTTTATACTGCAGGGGAAACATAGAAAGCTTGCCCTAAACAAAAATGGGTCCATAACTTCAAACCTAGATTTGAGATAACAAAAAGAGAAGGAAAAAAAAGGCTCGACATTCAAAATATCAAATAAGGAATATTATTGAAAGAAAATCAGACAAAATAATGGACTTCAATGTGAAATATAAAAACTTTAGGACTTTAATTCCAAAAAACATATAAGATATTCACACAATTTTCCCAAAGACAATGTCCTTTTGATAGGGAAATTAATCACTCTTAGCCATGAGATGTCAAATCTGTTAGTTTTAGATATGTTATGAAGTTTAAAAATTTTCCTTTTAAAAATTAAGCCAAACATGCATGCCCACAATTGTCCCATTCCACGGCCAAGAGTAATTGTGACTCACTTATACTAAATTGTTTTGTTTTCTACTTTTTTAAGACCAAGTTAATGTACTCTTAGATGTGCTTTATTGTGGCTCACTCTTAACTGTAAGACAGTAACCATTCAAAAAAAGGATTTGCACTAGTTAGGGATGGCAACAGACTGGGCCTAGCCTGGGGCCCTAATCTGAGAAAGGAGGGATCCCCAAAGGAATGGCCTTAGTTCGACCTAGCTTGGTCTAGGGCTAGGGAGCCCTGGCGTTGTCCCTATCCGAGCCAGGTCGGACTGGGCCCAATAAAAGAAACAAAGAAAAGTGGAAACACACAAAAAAATATAAGGCCGGGCCATGGCAACCCTATCATGGCTTGGCCCAACCCTCGTGCTGCATTTGTGTCCCAAGCCTAGCTTTTCAACACAGTGTCGAGCTGATAACGGATAGCGTTACAAAATTACAATCATTATCCTAGTTTTTATTGTATTTTCTTTATTTCTTTTGGTTAGTTATCCCAAAGATATTGATGGATTCGACAAATGTCAATAGGATACCTATTTTTTCATATAAATTAGGAAGTTAGCTTTTTTGAAGGTGTCACCAGTGGGTGGTATCAGCATGATTGAAAACCACAATGTGGTAACTAGGTGTGGGGGTGCTATCGCCACGACCCAAGCCCTTTCTAAAAATATAATCGCTCTTTAATGTAACGTTTGGTTCGTGTGAAAATGTTTTCTAGAAAATATTTTCGCACGAAAAAATTCTCTCATGTGGTTAAGTGTGAAAATATTTTTACATTAATTAGTTGCCGATAGGTGTGAAAAGATGCACTAAGACCAAACAGTATAAAAATATTCTCACACTTGACTGCATGAAATAATTTTTTCATGTAAAAATATATTCTAGAAAATATTTTCACGTGAACCAAATATGCCATTTTGGTAGTCGTCGTGCCTTTTAAGTGTTATGAAGTTGGACCCTTCCTTTGTTAGGAAGTGATCCTTTGACTTGCCCTAGCTAGCAATTGCTCATGGAGAAAATATCATTTCACGAATTGAAACCTCTTGCATTTGTTAAAATCGTCAGTGTATTTTCTAAAAAGTATTATTAGTTTTTATGTTATTTTATTATGAGTGATGTGGTGAGGTTGTACTTATAAGTTTGTGTAATAGAACGTTATGAATCTATTAGGTGGTTAGTAGCAATTGTTACAAGTGGGTAGTTTTTGTATTAAATGTGGTTGTAAAAAACATCTATTTAAAAAGATGTGTGTGGTAAGAAAACAGGGTCACATGTTTAAAGTTAATCTTGGGTGTCAAGATTGTAATGTCTTTGTGTACCTCTGGGTCATATGTTTTAAGGTTAATCTTGGGTGTCAAGATTGTAATGCTTTTGTGTATCCCATATTTTTATTTAATGAATGTTTTTCTTCCATTTCATTTTGGTTATTCTTCTTCTTTCTATTTGGTTGTGAATCATGGGCTAGTGTGACATTGTTATAGTAATTGAGAAGTGGATTGTTTCGATATTGTGAAATTCGTATTTCTCTACAATAGTATCTATCTAGGGGTCAAATAATCTTAATTAATATTTAGGTTTTTATTTTTTGTTTTTCATTAAACTAGAGTATCTATTTAAAACATATTCCAAATTTCTAAGTTACACTTGTTTAGGGTTGTTGAAGCTTGAACAATTAGGGACATTCCACTAATTTGACACTAAAGAAGGTTACAAATAAGGAATTCTAGGTAAAGAACACCATGTCCAGGGTTTAGAAGGAGGAATAATTTGGGGCATCTAGGTAACTTACATGCAAGGTATTTGACGCCAAATAATAAAATTACACTAAAAAATTCATGATTAGGAATGTGAAACACAATTTTTCAATGTATATGTTTGTTCGAAGTTCCTAACCCTGAACCATGAGAGGAAATTTAAATGGCTTGAGCAAAATTAATGTTTACCAATAGGTTTTTTATTTTAGAAAAGGATTGTATACAATGAGACCATTTACATGTGATACAAGGTAGTCACAGTTACTTATAACCATCCGATATGAAGTTTGATAGCTTGGATGTGTCACAAAGTTTGAGAAAAATTATTTTGAAGTTTGAACTTGGTCAATGGAATAATTGCAGCCACCCAATTTCACATCCAATGGACAAGATTAATGTCTAACCTTGTACCAAAGGTAAATGGTATCTTTCTATACTTTCCCATTTGGAGATATAAACATGGTTTCTTTTATTAAAAATACATGTTGATCTTTTTGCTGATCTAGTTGCCTGAGGAAAATAATAATAATAGCCCTTATTCAGCTTTAAAAAGCCGGAACTTTAGTTTTTCTTTGAAGGCTTTTGTTCCTCTTTTGTTAGACAATGAATGTCATTTTAGAGAATAGCATGAAAAACTTTATTTATAGTTTATTTCATTTATTTCATTAAAAATACCATGAGGTTTTTTGGTTTTCGACTTTTTTTTTTTCTTTTTGGACTTTGAAGTTTGTCCTTAATTTGCGAAATTGCAGCTTACAAAAAAAAAAAAAAAAAACTCACCTTAATTACTTAAATTATTATTTAATTTTTGGGATTGATTCCCAGATTGGAGAATTGGTTCGACTGCCGTTCTAGATTTAGTTTGCTAATCCAGAGACGACTTTCATAAGGGCGACTCACGAACCGATCCGATTTTGAAATCACTACGATAGAAATGAGAACAAACCATGCATGGCTGCATAAATTTGCAAATATCAGCTCAATGAAACTTGGATAAGTGCATGCACACACTTGCATAAACTGGGCAATAATTTGCGGTTTAGGATGAAATCCGTACAAACAAATAAATAAAGAAATAAATAAGGGATTGCACACCATAAGACAATTTATCTTTATTATAAGGAGGTCACAATTGCTCATAACCTTTAGATGTCAAATTAGATGGCTTTAAGTATGTCACCAAATTCAATAATTTTTTTTGAACTTTGAGTCTAGTTTATGACACTCTTACAACCACTCGAAATTTGATGGACAAGAATATTTGTGACTTCTTGTACAAAAAATAAAGAGTGATTTACGTGCGGACCCTAATTTTTTTTTCTAAAATATGAAACACTCTATTTATATGTGTAAATAAAAAAGAAAATCGATCAAAATGGGCTCTCGATCTGAGGACATCCTCGCTTAATTTTTTTTTTTTAGTTTTTTTTTTGTTAATAGGGCATTGCCCTAAAGCTTGAGCGCACTACCCTACTAATGAAAAAACTAAAAAAAATAAATAAGAAATTCGGACTGCAGATTTTATCATAAGATTGATGGGTAATTTTGAAAAAAAATAAAAAATGAAGGTTGACCGACCTTCTTTGTTATTTCTTTCTATAAATGGATTTCGTAGTTTTAATTTTTTTTTTACGGTCTGTACATAAATGACTAAAAAATATATGGTCACTATGTATAATTTTCCTATAAATAAACAAAGGACAAGCTTTCTATGCGTCTTCTGCAGCATAGAAGTTATATCTTTTCCCTTATCCAACCGTCCATTCTGAATGGATGGCTAAGATTGTCCTAATCACAAGGTCATGTCTCTACACTTTGAGACGTCGGATCTAAGATCAAATAGTGAGTAACTCTCTTGATCAAAATTGAACGGCTGGATAGTAGGAAGACGATAGAACTTCTATGTTGTAGGGAAAGTATAGAAACATTTCCTATAAACAAATAATAATAGTAACACCTCACATCTTAGTCACGGCGTTGTAGTTTTTATTCCCACCGCTAATATTATTATCCACTGATAATTTTTTTTTTTTAAAAAAAAACTTCTAATCTATTTGAAAAAATAGATAAGGACCGCCTTCCGACTTTATTACCCAAAAAAAAAAAAGTGAGATTGTACGAATTGTGCAAGGGGTGGTGGGGAGATCGCCTTCGAGGCAGGCACACAATCACTAAACCCGTGGCTACAAATTCTACGACCTTCTTTTTACTGGTGTTTTACGTGTGGACAGGACAGGCTTACCCAACTCTCTCTCTCTCTCTCTCTCTCTCTCTCTTACTCATAACCGTGGCTTGCATTTGAGCCCCATATTCGCACACAACCCTCAACCACATTTGAAATAGATAAGAAAAAAAGACAGCCTCTGACCCTTAAAATACAAAGGGAAACCAATCTCTCTCTCTCTCTTCTTAAAGCCCAACGAATTCCCAAGCAACTCTCTCACCATATTGTTGGATTCAAGAGAAAAATAAATATGGTGCGGTAAGGTTTCAACCTTCAACAATTTAATCAATGCGTACCTCTAAATTTTATCATAATATGTAATTTTGATGTAAAAATAAAATTATATAAAAATTTATTTTCATATCTAATTATAAAATTTAAAATTTAAAAAATAATTAAAATCAAGTAGATCTATAAACATATGAAAATCTTAAAAATAAACGGTCTGGATAATGTATTGCAAGATGCATTATTCTGATACTCAAAATTTTATTTGTTTTCATATTCATACATCTAGATATCAAAATGTTTTTCAATATTAAAACAATATTTTCCCAATAATGATAGCCTTTTATCCCTTAAAACCTACTCTATCCACCTCTCTCAACACCACACACTCTTTAGTTCCATCTAGAAAAAGCCCAAGCCACACACACACACACACTCTTTGATTATACTTAAAACCTACAAAACCACTCCACTCTCTGTCTCATTGCTCTATGAATCAGCACACAATTTACCCTTGCTCTAAAAATAGAAAGGAAGCCGAAAAGCTTTTTGATTTTCTCTCTCCTCCGTTCCCTCAAACCCAATCCAAAGCCAGTCGGAGATCAATGAAATCCAAAACAGATTCACTACTTTTCCATCCGTGTCAATAGTAAATCAGTCCTAAAACAATATCAGAAAACCAGAAACAACACAACCACTGTTGGTTCCTACCCACTGTTGCAGAAAACTTCAGGTGAATCCGAAACTCGTATGGACCAGAGAAAAAAACAAAAAAAAAGCCTCCACTTTTGACCCACTCAACCGACGAGAAGCCTTAAATCTTGCAACCAACCGGAGAAAATTCCATCGTTCCATACCCAACATGCGGAAGCCATGAAATCTCAGGGAAATTCCTCATAAAAGAATCTCTGGTTCTTTTGATCCCCTGGTAAAAAATACTTGAGAAAGAAAGAGAGAGAGAGAGAGCAGTTGATCTTGAAAAGCATAGAGAGAGAGAGAGGGAGGGAAAAGGGTTCCTCTGACAAAAAAGACCTCTATTTGGTCAGATCCATCAATAGGAATTGTGAGAGAGAGAGAGAGAGAGAGAGAGAGAGAGAGAGAGATGGCCTGCAAAGTGGACATGTTTTCCCACCTCTCAGAAGACATCATCCTCAACATCTTCCTCAAGCTCGAAGATGACCCAAGGCACTGGGCCTGCTTAGCCTGTGTATGCACAAGGTTCAGCACCATTATCAGGACAATTTGCTGGAAACACAAGTGCTTGACCACCATACCTGCAATCGTCTATGACCTTCTTCAAAGAAACCCTCTTTCTCTCTCTACGATGGCAGATGAACCCCCCGGGGGTTGGTCTGCTCTCCAAAAGGTTGCAGTTTGTTGCCCTGGCCTCCTCCACGCTGGTGTTCTTTTTGAAAGCTCGGATTTTGGATTGGAAAGAGCTATTGGTCCCCATGAAGAATTTGCTCTCATCTCTCTACCAACCAAGGAAAAAGTGTTCTCTCCCCAACGCCCAAAGATCACAGGTATCCAAGATCCAAAGAACCCATCTCTGCAAAAGCCCCATTTCTCTCTCCAAAACCCCCAGCTCCCATCTCTCCATGAACCAAAGAACCCATCTCTCCAAAAACCCCAATTATCCCTTCAAAATGCTGAAAATCCATCTCTCAAAGAACCTCAATTTGCAACTCTCCATGACCCAAAGAACCCACCTCTCCAAAACCCCCTTTTCTCTCTCCAAGACCCCAAAAATCCATCTCTCTCTACTGGTGAAGGTCCAAGCAATACTCAAAATTCGGCCATTGTAAGCCTCAATTCTGACTGCTCCTGGTCTCTCTTTGATGATTTGTACTCCGATACTGTTTACGATGTGTCTGAGATTCAAAAAGATGGGGTTTCTAGGGAGATAGACGTGGGTATGGGTGGTGCAATTAGGCCTTCACTAGATCAGGAAAGGGAGAACGTTATAACGAATGAATGTAAGAGGAGGAAAAAATGCCATTTTGTCAATTCACATCTAGCTTCAGGGGTCTGGAATTTGAGCAGAGAGCAAGGGAACAAGCTCTTGGCTAGTAGATTTAGGGGGGATTGCCTTTATATATGTGATTGGCCAGGTTGCCTACACGCTGAGGAGAAGAGGAACTACAGGGTTTTTAGGGGAGTTTTCAAGAACTTCAAGAGGTCTAGAGTGTGGAGAAACATAAAGGACACTAAGGCAAGTAAGACTTCTCTGAATTGTGCTTTCTGTTCTTGTAAGGGGACATGGGATTTGCTCAGTTCTTTTTGTTTGAGGACGCTGTTTGAGTATCATGACGATGGGGAGCCGGCTGTGAGGGCCTATGTGTGCGAAAATGGGCATGTCTCGGGAGCATGGACTGATTGGCCCATGTATACATAAATCCATTTCTCTCCCTACATATTTGAAGGGGAAAAAGATGCACATACTCCATTTTTCACTCTACTTGTTTGAAGGGTTAAAATGGTGTGCCTCATTTCTCCCATTCTACTCGTGAAAGGGAAAAAAGGCTCATACCTCATTTCTGGCTATCCCGTCAGAGGTAGAATATGCTCATTATATGGGTTCATGTCTTTTGTTCTCTGAGTGTTTGGATCACAAGTGATATCTGCGGATAATCCTCTGGAATACAAGTCTACCTAGTCCAGTTAGTTAGAGAGAGGATCAGACTCTGTTTGTTGCTTGTTTTGGGTGAATTGAATTTTTTCTTGAAGTTGGTGTTCTTTCTTCGTTTCTAAGTTGAAAAGCATTTTTCTAGTTTTGGAGCATCGAAATTCTAATGAAGATAACAAATTTAATTTTTAGTTGCATTACTTTCTATTCCATGTGTGACAGTTTTTATTTTTATTTTCTTTGATTAGTGCCATGTATTGTAGTTTGTTTTATGGTCCTTTAGCTGCTATTGCAGCAAATTACAATCTCTTTTGGTCATAAATTGGAACTATGACTTGAGCTCTTCATTCTTTACACTTGGACAAGCAGTGGAGCAATACCATTTTAAGCGTTCAACAGGAATCAATTGATTCGGCAAGAGGAATATCAATTCTTAATTCTCATTCCATTATTCTTCCCCAGTACGTAATAGTAGATGGTAAAGCTGTTTATGATTTGTTTTACAAATAGATTTTATTGATGGTTAGCCGACCCCAAATAATTGGGATAAGGCTTAAATGATGATGAAATCTACAAATGGGTCAGCTTTTTTACTTTATTATGTGAACCCTCGGTATATCTTGAATTGTTATTGTACAGCTCAGGTGATTGAATGGATGAGAAAAAACAAAACTTTCTGCATTTGAATTCACAAACCCTATTTTTGAGATATCATAGAAGTAGCCTTGATGCTTTCTGACGAGACGTACTGAGGTTACTCAGTGCCTATGGACAAATCAGTGTGCATATAGAATTATAAATATTAGACTTTGAATTTCTTTGCCTTCGGATCTGATTTCATGGGTTGTTGTTCCCTTTCATTTGGTGGACATGTCACCTTTTTTATTGCTTCTTCAGAAATAAAATATCTTAATGTTTGCACGATTCCATTGAGAATCCTCTTTTTTTTTTTTTAGGGGTGGGGGATTCCATGGAGAATCTTTTCAAGACCCTGTCTTGGTTTTTTTCTTGTGATTGCACTAAAAAAAACATTGACCAACTGGTGAGCTGTATCATGTGAAACATCATTTATTGAAGTGATAAAAAAGTTACAGTCATGGTCGAAATCTGATCAAGCTCCAATTTTCCTAGAGGGATGCTATTTCAGAAACCATTCCCTAGTTAAGGAGTCTGTATTGGTGGGAGTCTCCTCTCCCTTACCTCAACTCATTGTAGATATCATTCCTACCGTACCTTTTGTGAAAATTCATGCTATCATGTATCGTATTGAAAGGAGTTAATTAGGCAAATTTAAATTGCAGAGCATTATGAGGCATTGGTTACAACTTCATAGGGGTTATGTCACCAAGTGAATTTGCAACTTTACAGGCCTTATTTTTCTCAACCTTCTGTGACATTTACTTTAATTTCTTGCATATATGTCGTGTTCTAGATCTTAAGAAGGTTATGTAAGCATCCATTTGGAAGAGTTCTAACCCTATTTTACAACTCTACATATTAACACACTTATTGAAATGAGCTTGGCTATTAGGCTGAAGTATTTTTCAAAATGGGTAATCTCTTTTTTTTTTAATGGTCAGGCCTTTGTTCACGTGGTGAGTCACAGGTTTATTTATGTGAGGGGGGCCTCAGGTTCAGGGCTAGAAGTTTGTCCCACATAGCATACAAAGCTTTGATACATTTGTCTGAGAACCATTCGTCCAATAGGGAGAAACCTGGTTGTTTTGAGGCTGGTCTAGGGTTCAAACATGAGGCTTGTTCCAGATAACAAACGAATATGGCCTTGCTTTTATTGGAGTTATATCCCTTTGCCACAAGTTGGGTAATATATCTGCGCAATTTTATCATCTTTTCCAATATCACAATGTAAATATACATCTTAGGGTGGCCAAATCTTTGAACCCATTTTTCATAATGAAAGGAATTTATCCATCCATTACTTTGATCCATTTCATAGTAAACTTCAAATCAACAGATCCAGGGATGAATGACTTTTTTATTGCATTTTCCACAAGTGTGCATCCTAGGTATCTAGATTCAGAGTCACCTGTTGAGCATTTTAAAAAGCATGAAAAAAGTTAGTGCAATTTCCTTTCTTACTTTGTATTTGATCCTTTTTATTGAATCAGAAACTTTGTAGATCTTTCATGGGTTGGAGGATGACATCGTGACAGCCATAACTCTATGTGGTTTAAATACCACTTACTGTAATGCATGGTTGTTTAATGAAGAATGTGGTATATATTCATAAATTATCTGAGCTGTGCTCTCTCTTAACTATCTGTTAAAGTTTTAAATTCCCTCTCAAATGAGAGTTCTTACCTGTACTTTTCTCAAGGACTTTGACAAAGCGTCGGATTTCTTACGAAATGAAAATATGCATACAAACCAAAAAAAAAGAGCTATTAATTAAAGAAAAGCATTGCCAAAAAAATAAAAGAGAAAAAAAGCTTTGCCAATATAATGCATTCTATGGCCTTTTTTGGTCCTTTAGATCCACAATACTTCTGATGCCCCTTGCGTATTTGCTCTTTGATTCTTTAGTCCACCCATTTGTCAATTGTTTGTCTAGCTGTCAGGGTTCTCATGCAAATCCTTGTTTCTTTGTTTCTTTTTCAAACGAAGGTTCTCACTCAAGCTCCCAAACAATCACATAATTATTGGCGAGGTTATGGAATTTCCTGTTGGAACTTGGGTATGATCTCTACCTTCAAACGCCTTGCGGGATTCATGTGCAGGCAAAATTTTTCCGATTGAAAAAGAATTTTTAGTCATGCCATAGTTAGGTTAACTCTCGTCCACCAGGACTGAAAGGTTGAGACAAAAGATAATCAAGCGTTTCATACGGTACACGTTCTATATGCTGAGATACTCAAATTTTGGGGGTTTTAAGAACTCGACTAGAAGCTGCTTCTGACATTTTCGTGGATTAATGCTAATTGAGTTACTAGCATAATTTTGTGGTTGCTTTTGAAAAATCAAAGTTCTAACAGATTAAATGATTCCTTGCTGTCCTATATTATTTACAGATCAATATTATATTGTAGCCAGTGCCCAAGTCTTGACATTATGTTGGGAATGGGTTGGGGTTGTGGTGGTAGTATCACCTGCGCCTACCATCTGAACCCTTGTTACATGTCTTAACCTCCATTCTCTCAAACAGATTAAAAAATTGGCTATTTCAAAAACGGGTTGGAGCTTGTCATCCCTACTGACTGAGCCCAAAAAAAAAAAAGTTTTACATTCTGCATTTTTCCTTTCTCATCCACCCTTGAGAAGTTTTTTCCCAGTAGGTTTTGGTTTTGTGGATTAGAACAGCGTTCATGTATCAAACATGCAATAAAAGGCTCATCTTACTTTCCAAGTTGGATCACTCAATCAGACAGGACAGGTAATTGCATTTTGAAATGCTGTCTCTTTTGTCCAATATAACTCAAATTTCAAACGCGGAAGGATAACATTCTCAGTCCCTGATCATGCTTTATAACTCATGTAGCATAATGTGAGGCTTACATTCAACCCCTTCATGCTGTACTTCATTATTCTCTGTATACGTTATTAACTCATGTAGCATAATGTGAGGCTTACATTCAACCCCTTAATGCTGTATTTCATTATTTTCTGTGGAAAGAAAGTAGCCTTATGAACAATAATTTGCAGCAAAGTGAAAGGACATTTTGCTTGCTCCCTCCCTCTCTCTCCTTCTCTTAAATGGTCTCTATCTCTCTCTGACTCTGTCTTTTATGTGACATCAAAGAGGTGCAAAGCCTCTCAAATGTCAAGGGAGGTGCAAAGTCTTTGAGTTATCCAGGAGTGGAGGGGCCCACCCATTTTTGGATCCCAACGGCCAATGCCTTAAAAGGTTCCCATATTTTGGCTTAACAATGTCGTAAAAGTAAAAGTTTCTCTAGTGGAGGGTCCCCCACTCTAGTTGAGTGAACCCCTTACTACGAGAGAGAAACAAAATTGAACTGAATAAATGGTTAGAAATCAAAGCTAAACCTTGTTTACCCATTCCTATATGAGCTAACCCAACCCTACATGAGTTAATTAAACCGGGTAGCTTTGGCCGCTAGTTATAAAGTATTTATTAAGAAAAAGCGTAAAGCAAGGGTGTTTACTTTTTGGTAGGAAGAGATCCTTGCTTTACTTTTCGGTAGGAAGAGATCTAAGTCGATTTTGGCTGTTAAATATGAAATTAGACAGTTGGCACTATCATATGTGTTTTAGATTTATATAAAAATATTAAAATATAAATAAAAAATATAATCATGATCATTAGATCAACTCATATTTAATTTGGACCATTGAGTATATTATATCAACCTTAGGATATATAAAAGTTGATCCCGAATTAATTTAAGGGAAAATTATAGATACCCTTATGACTCTACTTTCATGCATGTCACTCCCTTGCTTCGTAAATACACTTCTAACCCCAAATCTTTTTACACTTGCAACCAACCTCCACCTCCAGAGTAAGAAAGTAGGCTTTTTTGGGACAAAAAATATCCTCATTTTACTCTCTCTAAACCAATTTGGCACAACTTGAATATAGAACTGGCATGGCACATTTTGATCTCAGACCGACACATGTAGAGTATTCTAAAATCACCATTAGTACGGTAAATTCTAGAAACACCTATAAGGGATGAACTATTTAGCATTGTATGTGTTTTTTATTTAATTTTAAAATACCAATAAAAGTCCACATGATCATAAGTTGGAATAGTTGTAAATGGGTAAAATATTGAATTGCATATCTGTTATGAGTATTTCAACACTTCCTTAATAATATCTTGGCTTCTTGTTAAAAATATTCCGTGGAAAAATATAGAAAAATACCATTTACTTTTTTGTACAAGGAGGTTACAATTACTCGTTCCTTAAATTTCAAATTCGATGGTTGCAAGAGTATTTGTGATTAGCTCAAATCATCTAATTTGACATCTAATGAGTAGAAGTGATTGTGATCTCTTTGTAATAAAGATAAATAGTCTCATTATATATAATCCTATAGTTATTACCTTTTTGTTTTTATCCATGGATTTAGCTCTGTAGACGAGGTTAATATAAGAGAAATTTACTTAAAGGATTATGCTAGGGTACTCATACATATAAATATTCCCTTATTGTGCTCATTTTTTTTTGGATACTCATATATCCCTTGTCTTGTAATATAATTTTTTTAGTAAGGGCACTTTTTGTAATTTAGAGGGGTAGGACAAATATTTCTATAAAAAGTAATGGCATTTATTAGTGGTTAAAAAACAATCATTGCTACATATAGGTGATATCATCTTCTACTTACGGTAATAAATATTATTTATTCTATCAAAAATTTCAA